GGTCAAGACTGTGGGGTGTTTTGTGTCGGCTTTCAGATGCGCACAGTGTCTATCCAGGGGTTCAAAGGAGCTGACATATGAAATGGCTGTGCTGGTATCAAAGATGTTTTCTCATTTAAAAGCTGCTCCTGTGGAGACTTGGAGGTTAGTTTAAAATTAAGAACCCCAAAGGTAACAGCTACTGAGCTTGATATATGAAACAGGGTTAAAGAGGGGAAAAAATCCAGGAAAGCATTCTGTGATTGGGGTCTAATTAATGAAACTTCTGTAACTAACAGTCATGTTTTGCTAAAGTGGAATTCTTTGACCTTGTGGGTAAAAGACCGCTTTACATAATCTCTTTAGATTTCCAGAAAGCCTTTTAACAAGATCACTGTTAGCAAGCTAACGAAGGAAGAGAGTTGTGATGAGATGTTTTATTCATAACAGAGTAGATCAAAAACTGGACAGGAGGCATGGAGAAGAACAAAACAACAACAAAAAAAAACCCTGAGAAGAAAGACTTGGTAGCTTTCATCTTGGCATCTCTGACAACAGTGTGCCTGTAACCTTTTCCTGATCATTAAATGCAGGAAATAGGGGAAGGAAAATAAAATGTGAAGTGGAGCTGAATTATTTAATTTGGTGAAAGCTGGAGGGGATTTCTAAGGAGTGTGAGATGAAAGCATGTTACAGGCAGGGCAATAAGAAAGAAGGGTGATGCGTGGTGGGATAATGTACAATCCTTCCACTGTTTTCTGAATCGGTGTGGGTTTGGGACCTGGGTGTCACTGTCACTGGGGAAGAACAGTGGTAATGTTTGGGTGGGGTTCTGGCGTGTTCGGAACAACCAAGCAATGCCAAGACGCAAAAGCAAAGCAAGTGAACAATGCCACATGGGCAAACAAGCAGTTTACCTTCTTCAGAAGGCGTGCAGAGCTGGCTATGCTTATTAAAGTGACTGCGGAGGTAGGGAGAGATTCAGAAATAGGTCATGATGGTAAGGAGCCTGGGAGAATGTGTAGGAGGAGGCACTGCAAATTTTGGAAATTTTTTTAGGAAGAAAAAAACCCTTGTGACAAAGTATGGAATACAGCAAGGGGCCTGGAGAGAAGAGACGTTGTTTATCACTCCTTACAGCAGAAGAGCGTTAGCATATCCTGTGAAGTAGAAAAGTGGCAGATTCAAAACAGATCAGTGAAGATGTATTCTCATGTGCAGGAGCTGGATGCTGTAGGGAGTCCTCAAGAACAGAAACGTGAAATTCGGAGTGAAATCAGAAATGCACATCGATGCTCATATCTGTGATTTGCTAATGTGAACACTGTTCAGTTTTGTGACCCTGCCTGTTGTTGTAGTCTCTTTTTTGCTAGGTTTTCCAATTATTGACAGTGCAGGCCTTATAATAATCTGAGTGCTTGGCTTCTGCTGTAAGATTTTTATGTAAGATGAAAGGAGCAAAATAACTTTATTATTTTAAGCTTTGAAATAACCAGCAGTGGCAACAGAGGTTAATAACAGGTTAGTGCTCACCTAATTTAGGAGTTCAGTTCAGTGGTGGAGAGTTACAAAGCTCTAGTGCGTGGCAGTGGTTTTGAACCCCAAATTAAAGCTCATCTCACTGGTGTTGTAAGTGTCTGCTGTGAGGAAGATGCTCTTTCTGTGGCAAAGCTTTTGCTTGCTAGTTGGAAAATTCAACGCTTCATGTTGTTGGAGGCCTTCTAGACCTCTGCCTAGATCTGTGTTTTCTTTAAATGAACTTCAAAGATCCAGGATGCATCAGGAAAAACCTTTTCAGTTTAACAAAAGATGACTTTGAAGTCTCTCATTTAAATAACCAGAACTAATGAAAAGCATTAATGAAAAGAGTAATTCAGGGAAGTGGTGTTTTGTTCCAGCTGTGAACTGAGTGTCACTGAATTTGCCACTTAAGTTTTCTGTAGGTCAAGACAAAAACGAGAACAGTAAATCTAAAGCTATTTACACTATATAAGTAGGACAGAGCTGCAGTTCTGCAGAAGTTTTCCATGATGGTAATATGTCTCTCTGCCCTGCTTGAGGAGGTCAAGCAATTCTTTCGTATATATGATGCTTACCACTCTAGAGAGATGGGTTGTCGGCACATGCCAAGTTGTTTTGCTGTAATATTACCTGTCTCTGTGTTTTGTTGATGTCTGCTCAGCAAGCTGGATGTGAAGCAATACAGCTGGTAGACTTGATTTTCACTCCAGTTTTGGATGCTGTGACACGTTTTGATGGTGAATTCCCTGTGTGAATACACTCAGTGCAGGAGTGGTGCATCCATTATGGTTTAACATGATGGAATTTAGTATTTTCATCTTTGCTTTTCTTTATAGTCCCTGGAGGATAGTAGATGACTGTGGAGGTGCTTTTACGATGGGAGCGATAGGAGGTGGCATTTTCCAAGCTATCAAGGGGTTCAGAAATTCCCCAGTGGTAAGTAAAATCATTTGCAAGTGCATTCAGGGTGCGGTCCTGCTTTCTGTGTCCATCAACGGTGAATCTGGCCAGCCGAAGGTAAAGGAGAAATCCCTGTGCAGTGAGTGGGACTGATGTCATGAACCCAAACCGGGAGGGTACGTCTGGTGAAAGGCTCAGGATCCACATGGGTCCTTCATCTTTCTGGGTAAAAGTTCTGCTTCCCCCTGTTTGACCTGGGGGCAGCAGTGGGACACTGGCAGCTGGCTGCCCTCCCTTGCTGAGAGACATCTCGCTCAGGGTGGGGAAGTGGAGGGCGCAGCAGAACATGTCCGTCTCGGCTGATCTTCTGCCTGTGGTTCTGTCTGCACGCAAAGATGTGAAGCCTGGGCCGTTCTTCCTCTTCTGGCCTATCTCTCTCCCTTTCTTTTAAGAAATGGAAAGACTCAAGAGAAGAATCTTTTCCTGCTTTAGATTTATAGTAGGGGGTATTATTTTCTTTAAATAATCTCTTATTTAATTATTAACATTTTTTATTAACTGGATTTCTTATTTTTTTATTAGTCAGGTTTTGTTTAAATGCAGAAGTGTGCGCAAACATGAAAGTTAAAGTTTAGCCGATGCAAGTCCTTTAAGATGTTTCCACTTTTGGGATTTCTGCTGTGAAATTTTTACTATAAACCTGTTGTAGAGACATTTGATAAAATAAGGTCCTATTTCTACTTGAATATATGTTTTAAAACATTCCTCTGGCTTCATATAAAAGGGGATTCTGTTGAGTGCTTTTTGGTGTTACTCTGTGACAATTTGTTTGCCTAAAATTTCTTAGTAAGCCATCAGTTTGAGGTAAGATTTGTGAATAAATATTTCCAAACTAGTCAGATACTGCAGACACTTAACTTGAAAAGGATTATATGCTTAACTACATTCTTAATTTTGCTTAAAACTTGTTAAATACACCTGTCACGCTTCTGAGTGCTTGTGTCAAAAATAAAACTTGGGTGTATGTTCTTTAAATCTTCTTAAAGGGTAGGAAGATATCTAGTCGTAATTCTCTGGAGTCCTGGATTGATGTGTTTCATGTTAGACTCTGTAAGGCTCAGCATTGCACTTAGAAGCTGAAGTGCTTGTCTTAGCAACTGAGCCTGGGCTGAGAAGACAAGGTCTAAATACTCCACCTCACCAGCAGG